TTCTCTTTACATAATACAAAGGTACAGGAGTACTATTGAATATTTATACCTCAGTATGTTCAAGTGTTTAATCATTTTCCCCTGGTTTCTCCGTCTGTTCTATAGTCTAAACACAATGCCAATAGATTGACTATAGTTCAGTCTTATTAATCTTAACCATCTGTCCAAAGTTCTCAAAAGTACTCATTTTGTTTTCTTCATCATGCTGTATCCCATTTTACATCAATTCCCCTCTTTCTCTCCCCCCCCCCCCGCCCCCGGGAACAGTTTACTACTTTTGCTATGCTTATTATAATTGCTCGATCATAAGGATAGTCTTATTTAATTCCTTATATCTATCTTTCCCCTATATTCTGGAAATGAGGCCCTGCAATTTTGCCTCCCAGGTCTTTCTGGTTTGGCCCATCCTATAATAACTTTTCCTTTCAATAATATAGTCTTGGAGTAGGTAGTCAGCTAGATATTTATATCAAATGTTTATATCCCATTTCTTATGGTCTTTCCAACCTAGGGCAACTGAGGCATCATGTGTTTTTTTTTTAATTTCCTCCCATTCATTAAATCCCCCATTGCCTTCCATTTTCTGCACTAAAAATTGTATCTTGTTCCATTCTAATTTTTTTACCTAATAGCTCGTCTATTTCCTTCTTAATTATTTTATGGAACATTTGTATTTTTTCACATTCTCACCACATGTGGGTGTATGTTCTGGTTTTTCCACAGTTATGTCAACAGGTTCTTGTAATATAAGCCGATTGCATGGGGATTCTATACCATTTTGTAAGTATTTTCCGTAACATGTCTTTGATCTTTACATGTTTTATTTTATTAATTTATTGTATCCAGTTGTCTATTTCTACCTGGCTGCAACTTAATTCCTCCTTCCAGACTTCTATCAGGGTTGTGTTGTATTGTTTTCCAGTGATTATTTTGTGTATGAACCCCACAATTCCTTTCTCCTTCTCAACTTTCCATTTTATTATTTTGTCAAGATTTGTTTCTGGGGTTTCCTTACTCTTCCATTCTGTTATCTTTTTAGACAACCCTCCCCATAGTAGCCAATTTCTGTGTTGTTGTTGTTTGTTTGTTCATTCGCTTCTGACTCTTCGTTACCTCATGGACCAGCCCAGGCAGAGCTCCCTGTCGGCTATCACCACCCCCAGCTCCTTCAGAGTCAAGCCAGTCACTTCAAGGATACCATCCATCCATCTTGCCCTTGGTCGGTCCCTCTTCCTTTTTCCTTCAATTTCCCCAAACATCATTGTCTTCTCTAAGCTCTCCTGTCTTTATTATGTGGCCAAAGTACTTCATCTTTGCCTCTAATATCCTTCCCTCCAATGAGCAGTCGGGCTTTATTTCCTGAAGTATGGACCGGTTGGATCTTCTCGCAGTCCAAGGCATTCTCAGGATTTTCCTCCAGCAGTTCAAAAGCATCTATCTTCCTTCACTCAGCCTTTCTTAGGGTCCAGCTCTCACATCACTACAGGTTCCTACATATTCCCACCTGTTTATTGGTTTCTCTAACCTTGCCCATCCCTGGAGCTCTCCAATGTTCAATTCAAGTACCTTAGGTTAAGAACAAAGCTTTTACTGTTTGACACTTTACTCAGAACAGGAGATAGTTCCTCTTTAAATAAGAATTAAAGTGCAGTGGATGAGAAGACCCAAGTTTTTCAGGCTGATTTTCTTTTCTTTTTTATGTTAATTTTATTGTGTGCAAGTAACAAAAAAAATCAAACAACAAATTATACAAAAAATATACAGTTACATCATCCTACCACACCCATTCCCATTTGCTATTGTTAATCCAGCTGCAACAAAACTATATTGACAAATGTGATCTTTTCCTTTGCTAAAACTCTCTCTAAATAGCCCTAAAAGACACTTTTTTGGGTTTTTCTAATAAAGTTAAGGAAAACCCAGAAAGGTTTCAGGCTGATTTTCTAATTAAAATATCTAGTTGCTGGGCGAACAAGTATATAGGGTACTTTTCTCTACTGTGACCCATCCTCTGACTGCAATTTTACTGATTGTCAAGAGTGACTGACAAAGAACGTATTGTTTCTGGCATGTGACTTGTGCCCTGTACTCCATGCCCAACATGTGCAATGTACCCATTGCTCCAAGTAAGTGTTCACATATCAAAAGGAAGTTATAGTGAAAGAGTAGCCAGGAATACAATATTATTGCTCACTTATTGAGGGAGATAATAGAGAAGGTCAGTCTAAAAATGTTTCCATTTAAAGTTGGCATCCAAAATAAACGTGAAAGCCCGTGTTCTAGATCTGGTCCTGTAGAGGTGTCATTTCTCACCTAAAGAAATAGAATGACCATAGAGAGCCCCATAGTTATAGTAACAGGTGAGTCTCTTCAAGGGTGGAGACTTTAATGCCATTACAATTCTGATAAAGAGTCTGAGAAAACATGTTGTGCACTCGAGTTCTAAATCTTGTGCCCTATTCCTATTCCAAATAATGTGACTGCTCAGGAAAGAAAACATGTGTATCTTATATAGAATATAGGAATCTTGTGACCTATGAATTCAGCACGGGGAGTGCCAGCAAAGTAACATCAATGTAACTGCTGGACACTAGCAGATTTCTTCACGTCTTTGCCCAAAATATATTTGTTATTGTCATTGCTTACTAAACTGTACAACAGTTAGTATCATGTGGTATCAAATACAAGAAGAGGGATGGAGCCAATTGTCTCAGGCACACAGGGAACAGCTTGTCATGCTATTGATCAATCCAGTTTAGTATTGTCTACTCTACACAGACTACTAGTGGTTCTCTAGAGTTTCAAATAGGGAACGTTTCTGGGAATGAATATATATCATTGAACTAAGGACCTTCCACAATGGCAAGCCTTGTGAAGATTGTGAAATCTCTTCATTAAATGTGATTCTGGAAGCTAAGCAACATCAAGTCTCTTTAGTACTTGAATGGGGACCCACCAGAAAATATTTAAGATCTCTCTGTAAGGGAGTTAGCTTAGGAAGACTGAATCTACACTGCTATATAATGCAGTTTCAGAATGCAGAATCAAATCATTAAACTGGATTATATGGCAGTATAGACTGGTTTAATGCAGTTCAGTGAATTTAATCTGCATTCTGAAACAGCATTACATGGCAGTGTAGATGGGGTCAAAGAAGAGCCAAAGAGCCAAAGATGGGGTCAAAGAAGAGCCAAAGAGTCATGTTCTGGTGTCTCCTAGGCCTGGAGAGTTCATTGAGCAAACAATCCCTGGCAGGGGAGAGGAATTAAAAGCCTGGGTCACTCCAAAGAGATACATATGAAGATGTGCACAAACACAATCATTTTTTTTATTAAATATGTTTATTGTAGTTTTGCTTACAAACATTTAAAAACACTAGAATTATTAGAAAGAGGAAAGGGAAGATAGTGGATAGGTGTGGGGGTAGGCAAGGGTAGGCTTGGGGGTAGGGGATGGACGCATTCGAGCATCAAGAATAGGGGGCAATGAAGAAGCAGGGGGATGGCGAGGGGAAAAGAAAAGGGGGGAAAGGATGAGAAGCAAGGGGGGGAAGTAGTGGGAGAGAAAAAAGGCGGAAAAGGGACAGATATATGACAGTTTAAAAAATAGTTTAGAAACTGTTTCTTTTTGTTGACTTCCGCCTTTATCTTCCCTGGGTAGTCTTGGTTATCACTCTGGAAACACAATCATTTATAAGTAAGCCAGACACAGATAAGTAGAAGATTGTCTATCAGGTTGTGTTGTGGAAAATAGAACAGGTGAAAGGGAAGTCCAGAAAACATGCAAAGAGTCAGAGAGGTTAAGAAGCCTTGATAATAGGCATGATAGAAGGCAGGATCACATCTGTAAAGACAGATGTTGAATCCAACAACTTGGTATCTCAAAAAATATCAACAAACATACTGTTTTGGGGGCAGGGGGTTCATACTGCTGAAAATACATTAAAGACACTTGATCTCAGGAGACTTGGTGCTTTCTTTTCAGCATTTTTCCCCCTCAGGACCTTGGGAGCCTTCTTTCTTTAAAGTCTGTATGAGTTCTCGCGGTTATGAGGGAAACAGGAGACTTTATTAGCTATCAGGGGGCTCAAAGGAAGGCTGACAGCTGGAGATGCCACGCCAATCTCTCATTCCTTCTGCTGGGAACTGTTATCCTGACTGTCCTCCTCTGATGAGGAGAATTTGTTCTGTTTAGACACAAAACAGTCATTCAGACTTCAAAATACTATGCTAGAAAGATAAGTATAAGACAACGGTGTTCCTACAATATACTTGGAAACAAAAGTTTATGTCGCACCAACTAACTACATCCTCAATGGGGATTGGCAGATGCTGGATAAATGTAGTTTCTGATTGCTTGAGATGTACTATAAAAATAGGCCTAACTACATAATACTATACATACCATACCATAAACTCTGTACCGACTTCATATTAATATTGAAATACAGCAATTAAAAGCAAATCAAGGCAAATAAATACAAACTTCACTTAAACTTCCATTTGTGCTAAAACGAGTTTAAGTTTATTTAAAGTATTATTTCTTTGGGGGAGTGGGGTTTCCAGTTGCTTGGGAGTTCTGTTTGCTTGTGTTCTGATGAGCAGAGTGTCTGTCGTATATATTTAGACAAGGATGGGGTGGCCATCTGCAGGGAGTACTTTAATTATATTTTCCTGCATGATAAGGGGGTTGAAATGGAGCATCCATGCAATCTTTTCCAACTCTATCGTTCTATGATTCTATGAAGAAGTTGTGTATTAGTGGAGCAACCATGGGAAAGAGGCTTGAGTTTCACAGAAATATGGCTAGTATAGGATAGGATTGGTTTGTACAGGACTCGATAAAGGAACTTGTGCTAATCCATTGCTGTTCCATTGTAATCCATTAACACTCCTTTAGACATTTTAACTCAGGAACTGAATTATGGATATTGTTGAACTGGCAGGAGCAAAGATAAATTGCATAAAATGATATTCTGTTTCTCATTTTTTTCTTGGCAGGTCACTATGGAAAGGATATTTATCGAAGTGGAGGTCCGGATTTCCATAATTTCATCTCCTCTGGTTTTGTCACATTAGGAAGAGGACACAGCAAGGGTACAGTGGAAACAATTTTTTGCTAAATAGAAAAGATGTGTTTGAGTACAATCTCTCACTTGGAAGCTTGGTTATGTGTGACACCAGATAACAGTATTTAGTGAGGCAGATCATAGGTATATGCTGGAACCTACAAGTCAAATGAAGTGCCATTGGTGAACTCCTAAATGCTGCAGAGAGGGAGGGAAGTAATAAACCTTTATGTTATGGTATGGAGGCTTCAGTTACTGTTTGCAGTATATTACCTAATGCTTTCCTGGGTGTGTGGGTGCAAACTCCTAGCTTTGCTACCATTTGCCAAGGAAAGAGACTATAGTGCAATGCCGCGCAGGAATAAAAGGGTGGCACCATCCAAATGAAAGATGCTGCTATGGGTCCACAGTGCATTCCACTTATATTGTTAAGGATATAACATGTAAACATATGCTTACATCAGACACAGCTCATGTTTTGGAATTGATGCCAGTGAATATGGGCAAATCTAACAGGAACATCTCCTACACAAACCCAATTAAAAATATAGAAACCATGCAGGAGGGCAAAACATTCACACTTCCTAGTGATATTATGATATTACCAGATACATTTTTTCATACTAATCTCAAGTCATTTGAAAAACCAGCTTAGGTAAGGATGGATGGACTATCTCTCATTCTTTTCAAAATACTTAAAATGGAGTGATTTGGTGCTGGGCTAGTTAAGGACACAATTAGAAATGCTAGTGGCCTTGGGGACTTCATTTTCTTTTGCTTTGCTCTGCTTCCCTCCAGAACACGTTGCTTGGCAGTCATGCATGAGTCTTACAGAGATATTTATTTTTGCAATACCTTCTGTGGTTTGCTTGCTCTTTACTTGTGGCATGTTAATGTCTGGACTATATAAGATGATTTGAAGTGTGCCAGAAAAGTCATTGTCCTGCCACACAACAGAGCACCAGTCTAGATGATCATTTAACATCCTCCAGCTTTTCACTTCTACAATTTCAGTGGGATTTCTGCAAGAAATGTTCCTTCTAGATTATGCCATAAAATTACTTTCAGATTATTCACTAATGAGTTTGTGTTGCCATATTCAGTATAACAGGAGTGCACTATATATAAATATATTTCTCCCTCCAATGTTTTACGAATTTTCTAAAGTGATTTCCTTAAAATTAATATATTTTTGTGTGTCTTCTAATCTGTGATAACTATAAAAATACATATATGCACATATATAGGTAGCTATAGGTATAGATATATAATATTGTACAAAACATGAAAACATGTCAGTATCCATATTTTGCACTATGTTTGTTCTGTGTAACATAATCTGTGCAGTACAATGCTGAGTGTACTGATGTGGAGCTGTGAAATAGTTAATGATACATACTATATCATCTTGGGATCATGTTGATACGTACAGATGACATCCGGGAGTTTCTTGATGCCAGAACTTGGATGGATTTTCTTTTAAGCACTTTATTGTCTACTTGGGTGGATTTCTAATGCAAAATTGTGTGAATTTTTAATTTTCAACTTACTTGTGCACATTCCATTGCCTTTGGACTGTTGAAGAGTGAGTCAACCTCTTTGAAAGACTTGAGGAGAGAAAAGGATGGGCATTGTCTGGTTCTAAGACGCGGCATCCAGGCTAACTGACCATCTTTTCCAGGGTCCACCTCACTCAGGCACATTTGCGCATTGAGGGTGGTCTGTTCTGCAGGGCAGATACAAACCACAGTGATAATCCAACATTGTTTCCTGCTGACTCACTGTGAGACTGTTGTACATTTATATTATAGATGTATATGGACAATCTATTTCTATAGAAACAATGTACTGTATGTGGAGACAAATTGTTTCATATATTCATCCCTGTTGTTTGTTGTTACTGCTGCTGTTGTTCCCATAGATGCTCACCATTCACAATGTTGTAAAAGAAGAAGAGGGAGCTTTCTTTTTCTGCCATTTTTTTTACTGTTAAACCAAATCAAAGATTTTTTTTTTGCCAATGTCATCCAAAGCTGTGTGAGTTCTGTGGAACTGTCACAGAAAAACAGTATATGTGTGTATTGTCTGTGCTTTATGTGTTCAAATAAAGTTTACTGAGGTAGAGGCAGAGCCCATAGGACTGAGCTCTCCTGTGGGACAGGGTGGTAAATAGAAAGAAGCAAAAATGAGTGAAAATGATCATATACAATTGGATAAAGAGCAAAGCGCCAACCCTCGGGGGTTGAGAAGGGCAGGATAGAAATGTTGGAAATAAATAATAAGAAAAGGGAGACTGTATGAACTTTCTCTGAACCTGTTGTTTTCAAGGTTTTCACTGAAACTTCAACAAAAGCTGGGCGAACGCAGAGCTGTGCAACCCACAGAGTCAATGGGGTTTCCACATAGGACTCTAAAGAAACTTCAAGATACATCTATTTTTACCTGTCCCGGGCATTCTAGTTTCTTTCCAAGAGATTTGCAATTTATTGTGTTACTGCTTCTGCACCTGAGAAAGTTAGAGTAATCAATCTCTTTGCTTAGAATTGTGGTGTGATTGACAAGATGGGAATGCAGAGGAATAATATGCAGGAAAAATAGATACCCTATATACTCATGTATAAGTCAATCTCCAGCATATGTTGAGGGCAGGATTTGGGGCCAAAATTATAGATTTTGATATGACCCATGGATAAGTCAAGGGTCATTCTGTGGAGAGGGGAATTCCAGGTTGGGTGGGGGGCAACCACTGTCACCACCATTTCCCCACCCAAGAAAGCTAGAAGCTGTGCCATGTCATAGAAGGTCAATCCTTCTTTTAGGTTCTCGTGGAATGGACTAAGCTCTTGACTTTCACCACTCAGAGAAGGGGATGGTTCATTTTTATAAAATAAGAGTTAACTTACAGTATTCATATAGATCCTATTGAAAATTTGACCCAAGTTTTTTGGGTTGATTTTTTGACTAAAATTTCTAGACTTATATATGAGTATATAGGGTAGATGGTAGTCACCACATGCAAGGCAGGGAAGTAGTAAGTGAGCTTTTTTGCTATTTAGCTTCATTTGGGGTTGCCAATTTTCACTGTTTAATTAGGGAACTTTCTAGAATTGATTTCTTTTCCCTGGAATAGTAATCCTGCTGTAATAATGAATTTTATTTCTGCTACAGCTTCTAACTTTTAGAAATATTAACTTTTAGATTCTATTTGGCCAATAAATAAAGCTTCAACAAAATCATTAATTGATATGCCAGTAAATTTGATTTCAATTTGTTTTTAATATTGTTAGCTGTTTTGGGTCTTTTTTGAGAAAAAAGCGGGATTATTATTATTAATACTCCCCCTCCTTCCTAAATTATTTCATCTGAAGAGTATTCCATTTATTTCAACAGTTCTCTCTTCCAATAAGAGGCATTGCAGCCTAAACCAAATGGTGCCTTCTTTATTATTTTGGAAGCTAGGTTTATCTTTTTGAGCTGTGAGACTTGGCAAAGTTGCTTGCGTAGTTGTGTCTAGTGTGGCAGCTTTATGTTCTGTGCCTTATTGGTCTGGCGTTTGTGACTTGGATTGAGCTGTTTCAGTGTTTCTCAATAAATAATTCTGCTTGTTCAGTCTTCATAAAGACAGCCTGGCTGGATACTTTTCCAAACAGAATGCTGGACTAGCTGGGTGACACTGAACTGTTTCTTTGGGGTTTTTTTTTAATGAATGTGATTTTTAAAGGCCTTTTCAAAGTAAAAATACACTAATGGGCTTGAGAAGTGTACCTTTCATCCCATTAGTTAATGCTGCTGTTGCATGTGATCGCCATAACTATGTAGATGGAGGTATTGTCTTGCTTATCTGACTGCATTGCTTTAGATGATTTAATTGTAGCCATGCCTCTTGAGATTGCATTGTAATTGTTTATTGCCTGTGAAATTCCTCAGTAATACAGTTTGTAGACAGAGGTTCTTCTGTTCCAGAAACGGAAGCTTTAGGAGGTAAGCTACCATCATCTCTGTTGCTTGATATAACTCCCTCTGGGAAAATGCAGTTTAGTAATGCTTTATCTCAGGTGGCTCCCACTTAACATTAATTTTTTTGTTTTGCATTGTGTTAACTGGACGTGAATGTTGGTGATTCTGTGTGTAGTTTTGCTTTGCTTTTTGTTTTACGGAAGGATATGTGTGCACTTTCCACACATGTTGATTTCTGTGATATATTTGCACGCTGAAGGCTGAGTAGCAGTTCAATAGGGAGACCCTTCAAAAGGCTGGAAACAGGAGTACATGACATGTGAAATACCATGGATGGCAAGCAGATGAATTGAGTATTTTGACATTCCACAACTTTCTGAGCTTGTGTCATTTACCTTTCTGGTATGACACTTTGCTGGATGAATCATCTTAGCCTGACATTTCAGTCTATAAAATTCTTCCAAAGTATATTCTTAAAACCATGGGATCAGTTGGAGAGCATTCAAACACAGACATTCTGGTGACGCAGGATCTCCTTGCCTCATGCTCCTTCTTTCATCTGTTGAAAGGAGGGGGTGATGAATGCTGTAACTAATCACATAAGAAAAACATACTGTGCACAATGTTTCATTGCTTTATTCAATTTACTTGTACCACTTACATTCCCTGGAGTTTGTGCATCACAAGCTGATATCTATTTAAGGTTGATAGAATAGAGTTCATCTTCCCAGATGTTTACCCGATATATATATATAATGACTAGATTATATATATATATATACACACACACACACACACACAATATATATATATATATATATATATATATATATATACACACACACACACACACACACACTATATATATATATATACACACACATATATATATATATATATATATATATATATATATATATATATATATAGGAAAACAAGCACACTGTAAGCAGTAACTCCTGTGATGAGTATTTACACAATTATATGACCAACTTTCTTAGTTTTCAAACAAAACACTTTTATTCCTTACTTTATATCAGTCAGACACAAACAGCAAAAATATAAAGCCTA